GGCCAATTGGTTCATTGGGAGACATATTGAGATTGTTTAAAAATGCTATCGCAGTTGTTGACATGGTTTTCCTCTTCACCGTTAGGCGTAGCCACGCACATACATAAATATGAGCTTATATATCTGTTGGCTTTTATATGTCATTGATTGAGTGCCACTTGAAGATGCTTTCTTTTCAGTTATTGCTAAAGGTGCTTATGTTGAAATATAAATGGACTGGTAAATGCATAAGTATTACCCAAGGCGATATATGTATGTATTATTATTACGTCCGGTAAACTCGCTCTGCGATCTAAAAAGATCAAATGTGTTTAACCCTAATTGTAGTCACCGCAATCTTAGGCTATTTAAGAAATTAAGCATATTGTAGGGTGCCGTGTTCCAAATTTTGGATGGAGAAGATAATCGTCTCCCAAGGTGTATCAGTCTAGTTAGGGGTCATTCAAATGGTACCTTACGTCACAGAGTCAGGTAGTTAGTAAGAGCTGCAAGACCCTCCGGCTAAGTTCGAAGAGCGGTTCGGAGTTTCTAATGGAAGCAGTTATGAATTTCTTCAAATACTTCATTCCCCTGGACAGCAATGTGATAATCTTCCCAGCTCCTGAGTAGTTCTGCAGTGTATCCCTTAGATGTGCCACAGAAAGGTTCGGAAGCATGCAAACGCATTTGAGTTGCACAGTCAGCCCTTTTGTTGTCTTCAAACACTTCATGTCCAGGCACCCACCTCTGCGTCACTCTATTCTGAGCTCACAGGGGGTATAAAGGAGTTTTAAAACTATCCACAAGCCTTGATGTTGTTCTAGATGAGACTAAGGTCTTTAATGCTGCCTGAGTATTCGACGTAATATTTATTCTGGTCCTATTTATCCTTCTACGATGACATTATAGAACACAGGTTTCGATTGGGAAGACTTGCGACTAGAATATGGTTGGGTATGGGTCCACTGGTAGACTTTTCTGGAATTTTGGTCCAAGTACGCCTGCTCCAGCACTCCTGTCGTCCATCTTTGATCCTTCGGTGTACCCTTTATCTTGGGACCTTTTATCTATCAGAGATATTATTGCTTCTCAGCAGTCCCGTTCAGGAATTCTGACTTGTTAGGGCTTGTGAAACGATAATTTCGGAAGCATGATATCTGTGAGCATGACAGCGGGATCATTCAGGAATGGCGTGAAGACCTCCAAGTGACTCCCCGAAGATCTCCACTTTTAATGCTGATTACATTGGGCAGCTACAGGTCGCTCCAGCAGGAAGGCATCGGGTTTTACGACCGTATTCAACGACCAATACGTTAGTGTGAAGGATATTGCCCAAGTTTTACCGTGAAGTCTCTGGCAGGCGGGAAATGCCCTTCTATCCTTGTTGTTAGCATTCGCCAACTTTATATCATAGTGAAAACATATTATTTCACTATGCTTTAGATACCTCGCCTCTTCTGAGAACTGATTTTTTTGTCCCGGCCAAGTCAAGTTGACTAGAGAAAATAGCGTCCTCATGCCAGCCAACAACGTAGATGACTAGTTCCACAGTATAACTTGGTCATCTTCATACCATTTGCCTTGAATCTATTGCCATTTAGCTGCACATACTGCAATTGAATGCCATTCCTTATTTGTCTAAAATCTAAAAGGAAGGAAATATTTCTTGGCTCATTGCAATTCAACTACCAACTAAAGTATCCGATAGGCGATAAGTTCCTTAATTTTATCCTACTTAAATCCACTTTTAAATTTATCTACTCACCTGCCTACACTTCTCCATGCTTTCTGAACAAAAATGCTTTCTAATTGCTGTACTCAATCTTTGCAGCACCTTGCATTTACTTATTTGCACACATCCCATTAGCCTGAAATGTCAACAGCTCTGTCGATTCGCTTGGTCAGTCGTCGTTTGCAGAGAGTTGACAAAACGAAAAAACTTGGGGCTAAAATGATAAGTGACTTTTAAAAGGGCAGATATGCAGGCTGCACTTGAATAATTTCATTTTAATTTGAAAGCAATTTGAAATAAAATGGAGTTGGGAGTTGAAGGACGCCTAAGGAGTGCTAAGTAGATGTTGGAAATGCAGCTGTTGCAATGAACTTTGTGCAAAGTTGTCAATTTCTAATGAGGCACAGCCAGTTGATGCTGAATGCAGATGATAGTTTTCATTTTTGCTAGAAAACTTGACAAAATGGTGAAAGTTTGAGTCTGTCCTTAATCTGTGTGGATGAATGAACAAATAATTTTTGGCATATATGTTTCAGTTTGGAGCAACAGCATAAAGGCAATGAAAAATTAAAATGCTAAAAAGGCAGGTAAAAGGAAATAATATATATGTATGAATGCGTCTGTCTTCTTTTCTCTTCTTATTTGGCAATGCAACCGTTGCTCGGTATAGGCCAAGTGCAAAGGAATTCAATTATTGTCCATCTCTTTCGTAAAGTTGCGAAAGTAGTTCAGCCCGAGTGCAAACAATTGCTGCTGCGGTAGCTCCACTTGTTCACCCGCGGCTGCCGAGTCGAAGAATATTTTCGCTGGAGCTTCATCATTCATAGGGCCGATATATTTAAGCTATCGCAATCGTTGTATTTGTTCAAGTATAATTATATCAATGCCATTGGAAAGTACGTAGAGTGCATCATTTCATCTTCTTCGGAGCCCGTTTCTCTCGTGAAAGAGATCTTGCGGAGAATATTTCTCTTGATACATTCTCATCTTTTTTTTTTTAAATGTATGTACCTAAAAGGATAGACGTGATGAGAGATTTGTAAAGCGCTGATAAGGTCCTTCGCTGTCACGATTTTATAACTGCCAACAATGACGTTCCTCCCACTATGCGCAGGCTCTTTCTGTGTTGGCAAGACGTACTTTCTGTCGTATATGCAATGCTAAGAAGGTTTATCCTGGGGTAATTGGCGCTAACAGTGGAATCTGTTTTCTTGCGATTCCAATCTTAATCTTAGTTTTATTCATCCGACTAAATTTAGTTTAAAGATTGGTTCGTACTCTCTACTAGCTCTCGGCCTTCTAGGCCGCATTATTGCTGTCCCACCTCGTTGAGTGGAGCTATCCACATTCGCTTAATCCCTATATATGGCATTTTTGTTTATCAAACTTGCCGCTGGTGATGCCATTTCAAGGTTTTAAGAAATGTTCCTTTCATATCCTTAATTTGCTGGATGTTTTGCTCAAAAGCGGTATAAAAACCGCATTTTATTTTTAAAACAAGCAAATACCCGGTGTGCTTCTCTGCCACTAAAAAGTTCTTTTTGTGCTGTTTAATACCTGTATTACTAAATTTTATTTTTTATTTTATCAATTTAATTTAATAAAAATTTTGAAAAATATTTTCTGCAGTAACCTTCCCTAAACCTCTTCAGTTTGATATCCATACTGCGGTACTTAATTTATCTTAAGGTTCCGAAACGATTTATTACGACATATTATTTAAGGGGGTTGCCACCTGTTCAAAGAGTAAAAATCCGTTAAATGAACAAGATAAACGAAATATTTTAAAGAGAGAGTATCAAACAGAAATTTCTTAAGAAAGCTGTACCTACTTTGAAAATATTTTTGACGAGAATTGTCACTAGCTTAAAAATTTAAAATAATTTTAATTGATAAGTTAATTGAAATCGGACTGTGATTAAATATAATAACACAACAATGTAGGTTCCAAACGAAAGCGGTTCATGAAGAGTTTAATATGAAAATATCATTTAAGGGAGTTGCCACCTGTTCAAAAAGATAAATTCCGTTTTATTAACAAGTTAAACGAAATATTTTAATATCGGTATTAAACATAGGGTTACGAGCTTGGGAATTTAGAATCAATTTATTTGACAAGTAAAATGAAATCCTACTATTATTATTAAAATGAAAGCTTGCGAGTGAATGTGAGTATATTCGATGCTCTTTCTTTGGAAAAAATTGGGACCTGGATTAACATATAGCGTACCTGCTTAAGAAATTAAATTTTATTTTAAATTATAAATTGAACAAAACTAAAAAATATGGATGCCAGACGAATGAGATTTAGGTTAAATTTATTACCAAAGCATTTTTGGGAGGATTGCCACCAATTTTTACGTATGTATAGCAATGGAATGAGGCCTACGAAAACTTTATTTCGAAAATATTTTGCAAATGATTACGTTTAAAATTCAAAACCTATGTTTTATAAATTAAATGAAGCATTATAAGCCAAACAGGTAGGAGAAAGCTTTGTGTTTGTTTTCAAATAGGGTTGCCATGTGATTTGAAAAGTCAATTTAAATTAAATCAATATGTTAAATCAAATATCGTTAAATGATGTCAAGTCAAACGAAATATATTTAAGTAAGCTTTATTTCGAAAATATTTTTAAAATGGGTTGCCACCTGTTTGAAAGTATAATTAAATTTAATCAGTTAGATACTTTAATGAAATATAATATGGATGTTAAACGAAAGATGTTTGAACTTTATTACGAAAAAAAAATTTTGAACAGGGTGTCACCTGTTAAAAAAAATTATATTCAGTTGAAGTGATTATTTGCAAAATGGAATATCATTCTTCATTAGAGCAAAGATTTTCCAATTTTCCTTAATTTCAATCTAGTTTTTCGGCTTAAGCTAAATGAAGTACATATGTATAACAATGAGACATAGGAACAATGAGTGTTGGTATACGACTTTATACAGACGCATTTTTTTTTAACGATTGCTACCTATTTATAAAATAATTTAAAAAATGTATATAGTATAAAAACGTCCAAATTAGTTGCAATATGACTCAATGACCATGTTCTGGAGCAATTTGTTTAAATAAAATTTAATATTTTCGGTGATATATATATGCATTTGAAATCATAACGTTAAACCGAACTTACGCAGGACGATTTCGGACGAAAGTTAAACCATGATAAGGCTGATAAAAAAAAAATAAATACTTTCGTGTAAAGAAATGGGTTTAAATGTACTGTTTTTACTCTTTTATTTAGTCCATTTTAAATTTTATGATTTTAAATATTTTTTTTATGCATTTGTTCTATTCTCACTCAATTATATTCTTTCTTTTTCCACTTTCCTGTAGCCGTGCTAAGTGCTGCTTCCTCTTGTTTGTACCTCAGTCACAAAATTGGCTGCTGTGACGCTCACAATTGGGATCATAAACGCCAAATCTAAATATGCAAACGTGCTGATATGTTTCGCCGGGGGTCAATATGACCGACGGAAAGTTATCCTATAAATATAAATATAAAGAAAAAATATAATTTCTCATTTCCAATTGCAACAGCACAGCGTGACTTACATGATTCACAGCATCCGGGAACCAATGCGTTTCCATGCAGAATGAGCCGTGCTTCTCGTAAAGGCTGTGTCCCTTGCCGATGATCATGGGTTGATTGGTTTTGGCCTTTTTACCACGTTTCTTCTTTAGTATTTGTCATTTAATTATGCCAATGTTAATTGGTTGATTAATGGATGGCACGTGAAGGTGGTTAGTAAATTAGTGGGAGTTGCAAGTGGGAGGCGGGTACCAATGACAAGTGATTTTATTAAAATACATACATACCTCCAAGTCGGGCATATTGTGCGCTGTATAGAAGTGCATACAAGGTTGATTGCTGGCAATTTCCATGCAGCGGCCGCTTGGCGGATGAAAGGCTCTAAAAAATGTTGAAATATTTTATTTTTTTTTTAAATATGTGGTGGGTGGTCAAATTCGTTTAATTAAGCATGTAAAGACTTTCTGCTATCTCCACTCGTTTTATACTCATTCTATGGCCAGTATTCATAGATGGATATTTTTGTGCTCCTATATAAGCAAACAGTCCCGATGCAAAGTTTTACCTTCCCGAACGGAACGGATTCAGTTTGCGAGAGAAAGAATGGAAGAATGTGTAAGTATATTTATTGCTCTATTACGCTAAAATGGCTCAGCGCATTCCAATTAAATCTAACACACAGATAGGTTAAAGCCTGGACTAATTTACAGAATATTCTTTGAAAGGAGTTGCCACCTTTTGCAGAAGTTAAAATCAATTGAATAATAAGTTAAAAGGCATATTACAAAAATGCAACAATGCAGATGTCAAACGAAAGTGGTTAAAAAAAAATTTTTTTAAACATTTGCTAAGAGGGTTGCAACCTGTCTTAAAAGTTAAAATAAATTTTTTTAACAACACATATGTATAAATAAAATATTTTTATAAAAAATGTTTAAAAAGCTGTAATTCGGAAATATTTTTCAGAGAATTGAAATTTTTTTAGACATACAAAAACAAAATTTTATCAACAAGTAACTTAAATAACATTAGTGTTCGTCCAGCTGTTGAAATTCAACCACTAAAATTAAGTGGAGTTGAGTTAAGTTAATGAGTTGAGGTGAGTTAAGCTGAGGTGAGGTGAATTGAAGTGAATTGATTTCAGATGAGGTGAGTTTAGATAAGATGAGGTGAGTTAGGGTGAGATGAGATGAAATAACATTAGTTGGGTTGGGTTGCAAGTGAGTTGAAGTGGGGTGAGGTGAAATGAAGTGAGTTGAGTTGAGTTGGAATGAAATGAGTTTAGTGGGACTGAGGTGAGGGGTGTTAAGGTGATTGAAGTCTGCTGTGGTGAGTTGAGGTGAAATGAGTTGAACAACTTAGCACCACAAAACATAACACAACGTAACACAACATACTATAGCAATATAAAATAAAACAAAATAACATACCATGGCATAACATAACATAACATAATGAAAAAATTCCATTCTTCACTTCCTCTTTCTCTTTATCTATCTTTATCGCTATGACTTTCTCTCGCTTTTTTATCTTTATTTTTAACTTTGTTTTTATTTTACTATTTATCTTTATCTTTATTTTTATATTTATCTTTTCCTTTACCTCTATCCTGATCTTTATCTTCATTATTTTCTTCATCTATATCATTATATTAAACATCTAAATTTACCTTCCTCGTTTTCTTAATCTTTAGGTTGCTTTGTCTTACTTACTTTGCTTGCTTCTCTATACATCCGGGTGTGTACTTGAGCACGTAATTGTGATCGTATCCCTTAGCAATATTCGCAATTTGCTTCAGACCAACACCAACATTTGTTAACTTTCGCAAGTCCAAAGGGTGATTATCTAAGCAAATAAATTTGCCATTCGGCACAGTTTCTTCGTCCATATCAGTGAGGCAGTCAGCCTTAATCTTAACAATATGTTCCACCATGCCTTGCTTGCCGGAATTCTAAGGAAAGGAAATTAAAAAAAGATGCTGTTTGTTCGTCCAATATACTTAAATAACTAATTATCTACTCACATGCCCTGCCAAATTGAAGTATGCATGATTAGTCATATTGACCGGTGTTGGCTTGTCGGCCGTTGCTTCCAAACAAAACCGCATACAATTATCATCGGTGAGCGTGTAGGTGGCAGTAGCAACCACTTCACCGGGGAATCCCTCATGGCCATCTGGTGAGATGAACTTGAAAACAACACCATCCGGACGCACCTGATCCACTTCCCAGATAACCTTGCTAAAGCCATGAAGGCCACCATGCAACATATGCTTGCCTAGGAAATTCTTTGTGACCTCATACTGTTTGCCATCGAGCGTGAAACTGCCATTACCGACGCGACTACAAACACGACCGACAGTGCAACCAATATAGGGGTTATTTTCAGTCAAGTAGCCTGTAAAGTAAGTAGAGTGGATGATGGATGTACATACATATATAACTAGCAGTCATTGTTGGATCAAAACTCACCTTCAATATTATCAAAGCCCAGCGCTATATCGTCCACCATGCCATGCGAGTCTGGCACTTTCAGTGATGTTATTGTTGCACCGAATGTTATCAACTAAGGGCGATTTGAAGGTTGTGCAACGTACACTAACAACTTAAAGAATGTATTGCAACTTACCTGCATGGACATGCTGCGATCATTGCTGATTGTGAAACGCCTAATTACCACCTCTTTGTTGGTGAGCGGATTAATTGTGCTACCGAATGTATCTTCCGTGACGCAAACCATTTTGTTACTAAATTAATTTCAACGTTTTTTTTTCACTTAAGCACGGCTACAGTTTATTTAATTTATTTGTTCATATACTCTTGTGTGTGTGTAAGTACATACATGTGTATATATCTGTTGTGTTTATTTTGGCAGCGATAACTATCGCCCTTTCGGCGAAAATTTTGCTAATATTGTCCGTAGATGAAAACTTGATTTTTATTTATTTTTTTTTTTTTTTTTTATAAATGTCGCCCGTTTGTCTAACTGATTTTTTACACAATACAAAAATTTTTCCACTGAATCAAAAATATGTATGTGCACAGTAGTTTATAGTTGAACTGCTAGAAGTACATTGCTTGCGCTTATCAATTCTTGTTTGCTTTTTGTTTCAACCGCAACGCGTCTTTAATTCACATTCAACGCCGCTGTGCACAGAGATGAGTAGCGATAACGTCAGCTGAGCGGGTAATCAACCATATTTGCCAGCACACACATAGCTTTTCAAGTGCCACTTGGTGAGTTATTGCTTTGAATGCTTGCATGCTTGTATGTACTCGTATGCACCTGTATTTATTATGCAATGCTTTCGTTCTCTAAATACACACATACCCGGTAGGAAATTGTAGCGACAAAGAAGTGATTTGATAAATGGAAGGCAAGAAAGTTCATCAAATTGTTGACTTTTAATATTTTGTGTAAGGATGTTTTCGGATTTATTTTTGCTTTATGTATTGAGACTTACTGGATTAATAGACACTCTATAATCCATGAAGGGGGCACAATAGATCTTAAGGTCGCAGTGCTTTATCCCCAACAATAATAATAATAATTGAGGAATTCATTGAAAAGCTAAGTTCAGTACTGTTGAATGTGAAGCTTCGAAAAAAATAAAGCTCAGAAAAGTCTCGAATAAAACACAAAATGTCTAGAAAAAACTTTCGTAAAACTAAAAAACAGTCTAAAAAAAATAGCAAAAAAAAAAAAATTCAAGATTATATCGAAAATTTTTGAAAAAAAAAATCTCGAAAGTTCAATAAGTAATTCTTTGTTGTTTACTGTTTAAAAAAGTAAACAGTTGGAGTTTTTTTTTGCTCAAAAATTATCATTACACATTTTTACTGGGGTTTCTTTAAAAACTACACAGCCAAATAAAGAGAGAAAGCAGTAATGGTAATATTAATCAAAAAGTTCTGCAAACTGTTGACTTTTAATATTTTTTTTTTTTTTTTTAATTTTTTTGCTGAGACATTCAGAAAAAAGGAAATTTGAGTAGTATTAAATTTGAAGATTCGATTAAAGAAAATTAAACCCAAAAAGTCTAGAACACACTCTAAACGTTACGTAAAAAATCTCATCAGACCCGAAAGAATGCCGAAACGTTCCGAAAACTTTCAAAGAATTCCGAAAAAATATTCCTTTAATTCACAAAGCATTTCCTTTTGAACAAAAAAATAAAAAATAAAATCGAAAACTCAAATTTTGAATCATTTTCTGTTTACATACATTTTTACTTTTCAAGTGCGAAAAATTAAAGTTTTAAAGTTAATGGAAGAAAATTCGAAAGACATTTTCGGAAACCCAGTCCCTATCATAATGGCTAAAAATAATCGAATATAATAAAAATAATAAGTATTAAAACCCAAAATGAGAATTATTTTTTATTGAAAAAATAAAAATCACAGAAGACGCATTGAAGTTGACTGAAAGAAATAAAAGTCCAAATTTAATGATAATTCGTGATCTGAAAAATAAAAATCAAAACATTATTACATATTTTGTATTGATCCGAAAATAAAAATCTTGATATTAAACGGTTATTTTCGGTTGCTGCATAAAAATGCCTTATTTTTAGGATGATCGCGCATTATTTTTAATAAGGCTAGAAATTTCCCTCATATCCTGCACTAGCCTTCAGATAGTCTAAAAGGTTTTAAGTTCCATTTATTCGTAACTCATAAATCCACTGGCAAAGATTTAGACAGTGGTGTGTCGTTGGCTTAAGGTAATCCGTTTTCAGCTAATTGCTCAGTTTTGTGAAATGACTTCAAATTTGATATACATATGTATATAGTTTAGTTGCCTCACTTTTGGGACGATTTTCCTGCCATTGCAGAATGAAGAGATATTACAGAGGAAAGTAGTAACTAAATTCTGTAATATTTTTTTCCTGTCAGGCCTTCACTAATTACGCTACACTTGCGATACGGTGAGTACATCAGCCGTTTGCGCGCGGAAACTTTTTAAACGCTCGTTCGCCTATTTTAATTTGCCAGAAACATTTGCTTTAGCCCCATTAATGTCATACAAATTTCAGCAAAAATTATTTATTCAAACACTTAAAGCCATAAAAACCTTTATTTATTAATGAATACTAAATTGTACAGTATTGTACAGATAAAAGTTACCACTATCTAGGTATTTCAGTATAAATTAATACATATGACAAAAAAAAGCCAAAACACCAATTTTTGATAGCTAATTATTTCAATCGTTGCCAATCCGAAATATGTATATCGAACTCAGCTGTCAAAGGAAGAGAGAACTGAACTGAAAAAATCAAACTAAAGAAAGAGCCGAAATGAAAGACAAGAATAAAAAAAATCAACGATTTAAGGTAAAAACGAGTTAAAAATATGCTCCGTAAACAGGGTGATTCGCAAAAGTAATTGGAGAGCGAACAACGTAGTTGGCAATGGTCGATGATCATATAAAAATTTATTAGTACCGTTCATATGTCCATGATCCAATGATCGCAACTAAATCAAATTAGTATAAGACGAAAATTGAGGTCCCATCTTTCCAATAAAAAAGAAAATGATTTAAGTAGTTCAAAGATATCCGGTTACTAGACACATAAGGGAATATACATATATATATATATATATTCCGATGAATTGAAAATCTTCCTATTTTTTTGGAGTCGGAGGAAAAAAACTAAAACGCTGCTCATCTTACAATTCATTTCCAGCAAGCCTCAACTGCAGTTTATGCCTATTGGTAAAGGCAGATTACAACTCGAAGGAGGTATTTACTTGTATTAGGTACAAGCAAGCGAAAGGATACCTCTTGTTAAAATAATTGCAACTTATCTGAGCCATAAACTGCAACTGGTATTTAACTCATTATCTTTACCAATAGTCACTTTGATGGATTTTTACTACCGCTTGAATATTCGTAATTTATAGAGATAACTGTACAGATGATGTAGTAACGCTCCGTGTGCGTAAAAATTTCCTTTATATGCTTTTCCTGCAGGGCATACTTTTCAATTATCTAATTGAGAATGCATACTTTCTCTCAATCAACATTGTGGGGGCAAGCTTATTCATATCTTAAATGTTGTTTCAACCATATTTATACCTACTATTTATACATACATATATATATATATAAATATAGATCTTCATTCCAATAATTTGTCATATCTCAGATAATTTTTTCTAGCACCCCCAGCAAGATATTGAGATTTTTTGGCCAAACTGAAAATGAATTTTTTTTGAGTATGCGTAATAGAATACGTCGATATCGAGTTAGGGATAATTTTTGAGTTAATCACGATGGAGCTTAAAGGTTTAACCGCAGCCTGGTAGACGCCATAATAGTTCTATAGTCGACATGGGTAGAGCAAGATAGATTTAGTAAGAATACTCCGCATCCATCTCTTAGCGCAATGGACAATATTTTAGTACTAAAGAGGTTAGTGCAATAGTTTCCCCCACTGCATTATGTTTGGGATCTTCGTGTTGAAATTTCTATTTTAGAACAAATCCTGAGCGTAAGCCCGCAAAGAAGAGGAAATTGAGGTTTTTTTTTTATCTGCGCCCAAACCGACAAAAGGTTGTAGTGTCAAATAAGAATAACATCAAGCTGTGAAGGGAAGTCTCTATAGGTAGGTATGCTGATCATTAGACAGCCATCGACTTTCAATTGAATGTGAAAGGGTAAGTACTAACTGTTCTTTCTGTGGTTTAAGCTCGAATAAAGAGAACATGATAGGCCTGAGATTCCTCCAGTTAAGGCATTTTCTTTTTTACCGAAAAATTTCGCATTTTTAATATCTTCTGCGAAAATAAGGACAGGGCAATGAAAAGTCAACAATTTTTGTAGAAATGAAAACGCCTTTAGTTTATGAAGTTTTACCGACTTCCCATGCTGTCGGTATGTACTTAATGAAATTAAAAAGGGGCCCTAAAATTATTTAAAGCCAATTATTATTATCGAAGTTCTGTTGTTGTGGGCATGATAGCATGCGGTCCTGCAGTTTATCTTCTTTTATTAGGTAGGCCTCATTCTAGACTGGTTTGAGGGTTCCGAAAGGAGCAAGGAATTATTTCCATACAAGAATTCTCTCTTGGAGCATTTTGGGAAGAGTGCACTCTAAAAAATCTGTTTAAAAATGCGACTATAAATCGAGTATATTTTTGTTTATTTTTAATATTTTTTGGTAAATTTACACGATGAATTTGTATTTTTCCCGTTTAGACATTTTCGTGTGTAAAACTGNTTCCATACAAGAATTCTCTCTTGGAGCATTTTGGGAAGAGTGCACTCTAAAAAATCTGTTTAAAAATGCGACTATAAATCGAGTATATTTTTGTTTATTTTTAATATTTTTTGGTAAATTTACACGATGAATTTGTATTTTTCCCGTTTAGACATTTTCGTGTGTAAAACTGCTTTTTGTTAGCGGCTTTACACAATTCTACGGGTGAAATCAAACAGCAGATGTGTATTTTGTAGCTTGTACATACTTTCGAAGTAAATTTATGCACACCACAGCAGCTATATTACATTCTAAAAAGTCCGAAATTAAAAAAAAACTATTCGGTGAATAATCGAGCATGTAATTTCGGGCGTAATAAGGTAGGAAATCTGTAACCTACCTTTTTGGCTAGGAAACTTATAAATTTTTTTTTTTTAGAGTGTAACTAGTATTACACTTGTATATTAATTTACAGTAAGCTGAACTAACCGCCATGAACAAAACTGCAAGGTGGTTGGTCGATTCTTCTTTTAGGGTGAATGCAATAGTTATCCTTTCTGATATGTAGTGTGGAGGTACGCATAAAGCCTTCGAATCTGACAACAAATGACAAAAGGTAGCCATGGATGGCACGTATTTAATGCAAGACCACAATAGCACGAAGGGAAAGCTGAATGACAGATTCACGGCTCTCAGTGCGGGTGTATAACGCTGTCGCTTTGCAAATTATGGTGAAAAATATGTACATAAGTAAATCGAACAGACTAATAGAAGGTTGGTCTACAGAGCGCACATGCATCACAACACAACTGGCCTAAATTCGATAGGAAAATATTTAGCCTACTCCTTCGACTGGAGCGACTACTGCTTCGACATGTAATCGGAATTATCACAGGCCTCTACTAGACGAGGACGATTT